TATTTATATATATATATATATATATATATATATATATAAATATGAGAATCCGAGGTGTGGGGGAAAAAAAGCTTAGAAAGAGATAATATATATGAAAGCGCTGCGGCAACTAACACCTTTAGAATGAGTGGTGGACAAAGCAAATTACAATTCTTCTTACAAGCAACAAACACACAACCTTAATTTCTGCGTCTCCTCCTTACTCTGAATTATGATATATATATATATATATATATATTATAAATCCACAAATGTATACACACATAAATATATTTGTCTTCTCTCTCTCTCTCTCTCTCTCTCTCTCTCTCTCTCTCTATCTCAGGGTTGTATATAATGTGAGTTTGGTCGGAAAATGTAATGTGATGGGTAAGGGAGGAAAACCTAAAAAAACAGGCAGCACAAGTTCGCCCTGTTTTCGGGATGTGTTATATATATATATATATATATTATAGAAACGGAGTTTTTGCCCAAAAGCAGTGATAAGCGACAGTTGACGTAAGACACAAGCAAGCAGCTTCAACACTGATTTTTACTTGGAGTATTCTCCAAGCAAACACTATATACTGACATTTAATACAACATGAGGATATACATATATACGCATTTACATGCCCAACGTATACACCAGCCACCCATAATAGACAGATCTAGGAAAACTTTTAATTTGGGATATGGTACATGGTTCAAATAAAAACGTTATATGTGTATATTATTATTAAAATATGTCATCATTATAGTTGTGGTTCAAATCGGATAATCATTAAATATTTATTGGTTAAAAAATGTGTTTTTTGAAATTAATGATATAGACTATATATTAAGATTTGGAAATAATAGTGTACAGGTCTTTTATATTCTTTATTTTGTTTGACTAGTTTTAAATTATGCATATGTTAGAGAAAAATACATAAAATCAGTCCAGATGATGAGTTGGCACCAAAAAGATGTCGCGGGGTTAGGTTGGGAGAGTGGTTACACTCGAGTGAAAGGAGTACCGAGTTATACACACAATCATGGTATATCATACCTGTATAAATATATATGTACACATGAATATACATATATATATATATGTGTGTGTGTGTGCGTGTGTATGTATATATATATGTGAGGAAGGATGATATATATAAAAAAAAAGCAAAGGGGAGTGAAAAAGAGAATCACATGGGGGCATCATGTGCAGAAATTGGCTTAATGCCATTCTTTTCATATCACATGGCTCCTCTTTCCCACCATAACCCCACTTTTGCCTTTCTCTTTTCTCTCTACAACCTTCTTCTTCTTCTACTCACTCCGCACCATATATATATAGACGCGTCACTCTCACACACACATACATATATATATATATATATATGTATATATGGTATTTTTTGGATGATATTAGACTAATTTATGGAAACCATTGTGAAACAACTCATCCCCATGCACATAGATATATATAATATAAGCAGTTATAACACAAAATTGAGTGATTCAATTAATAAGGGATGAAGTAAAAAAAAAATTAATCTTGGTTCGAATTTTTACTTGAAAAGATATATTCATCTAAATTTATCTAAATTTATTGTTTCTGTAAAAAAAATATAATTGAATCAAAGATTCGGAAAACTTTTGAATTATAAAAAGTTAAAAACAAAGTATATATACAATTGTGAGATAAAGGCATAAAAATGATATGTTGATGTTATGTGTTTATGTATGTATATATGTGTTCGTGTTTGTTTATATGAATGCCATCGATTTTATTTTAGATTACAATATTAAAGAAAATAAACAAGATAATTGAAAAAAAAAAAGATCCCAACTTTCCCCACAAAACGGGAACAGAAATTTGTCTTCTAATCTAAAAAATCAGCATCAAGATATTGGTTGTGTCTTGTAATTATCTTCAACCTCAGGGGCAAATAGCTCAGTGTTTTTAAAAACTCTCCGTCTGTTATCGTAATCTCTCCGTCTATTTATAACGGTCGGGATTACGCGTACTTCAGTCAACGACGAAACTGACGCCGTTAACTCGCCTAACCAGAAATACCCGACTAACTGAATTTAACCGAAATTGATTTAAACCCATCTGGAACATTAATCTGTATATTTTATGATCCGCTTGAATTTAGAACTCTATAATTGTAATCGATCATTTCAATGACTTTTTTATAGCTTTAATATACAAAGTTATTGCTCAGCAAGAAACCAAAACCAAAACCAAAACCAAAGTTCCGGTTCGGTCTGGTTATCTTTAACCGTTTCTCCCCTTAACGACGTGATGACGCCGTTTATTATTTTTTCCTTTTGTGCTTTTTACTTCATCTCTCTCGGTGCTTTAAGAAGAAGAAACAATAAATGCACTCGAGAACACTGTTTCTCTCTCTAAAAGTCACGTCGCCTCTCTCTTTCTCTCTCTAAAGCGCCATTACTGATTTCTCTGGAACTCCTTCTCCTTGTTCTTCTCCGTAAGTCTTCAAATCTCATTTTGCGGGGGTTTTTTTCCTGGAAAGTGTTGCTTGCTCCATCACTGTCCGATTCAAGCTTTGACATCATTGATCGATCCTGATCCGATTTCATGTCGCTGATCTTCGATAAGATAATCTGTTGATAAATGGATCTAAGAGTGGGTATATATGATGTGGATTCTGCAATGTATGTTCATATGGGTTTTTGCTTCTTTCACCGTTTGGTGGAGTTGCTGCTGCTATGTGCTGATTTCGGAAGTGCTATGCAATCGAGTTGACTCAGTGAGTTAAACATTGTTCTTACTTTTGAACCAAGACACGGGAAAATCTCCCGTATTTTCTTATAATTTGTATCTGACATCGTTCGGGTTCGATCTTGGAAGTCACTTTAAGTGCTTGCTTTGTGTTTTAGTTTTCTTCGATCCATTGGCTATGGTCATGATTCGCATTCAGGGCCTCTAAAGCGAGATAAATTAGTCTTCTAGATGCCTTTGTAACCTATGGATTATGTGTCTTATGGTGATTTCTGATTCGTTTTGATGAGTAAAATAATCCCGGAACTGGCCGTGTTGTCTCTGCAGGGGATTTGAATTGGTGTTTCTTGGTTCAAATTCATCATATAATCCACAATGGTAGACAGTAATATTAGCAGGATGGATTCAATGCAACACAGGCGAGGCGGTATGGTGTCTCTCTCACCGTCTCAGACACCACGGTCGGGTGATAAACTTGCCCGGGAATCAAGATCTTCTGACTCAAATCTGACGAATAGAACAGATAAAGAGAAGGGTGTGAATGTGCAGGTCATTGTACGTTGCAGGTGGGTTTGTAACTTTAGCTTGTAGGTACTCTTGAGTTTTGGGTGTTGATCTCTTTCGGATAATTTGCTACTTTATAGGCCATTGAGTGATGATGAAGCCAGACTGCATACTCCGGTTGTCATTTCATGCAATGAGCATCGGAGAGAAGTTTCCGCCACACAGAGCATTGCTGGAAAGCATATCGATAGAACTTTTGCTTTTGACAAGGTTTAAAGCTATCAAATCCTGTCTTAATCCTCTCCTGTTTCTCGGGTTTCCGTTAAAACAGAAGAGGCAGATTGAATTCAACATTTGATCTTGAAATGTTTCAGGTCTTTGGTCCGGCTTCCCAACAAAAGGACTTGTATGATCAAGCAGTCTGTCCAATTGTGTTTGAAGTGTTAGAAGGTTACAACTGTACCATTTTTGCATATGGTCAGACAGGAACTGGAAAGACGTATACAATGGAAGGAGGAGCAAGGAAGAAGGTGGGTCTTGCCGAATCATTCATGATTCAGATCTGCACAATCATGTGCTATTGACTAAAACATTTGCAAATTTGTAGAATGGCGAGTTCCCTAGCGATGCAGGTGTTATTCCAAGAGCTGTTAAGCAGATTTTCGACATATTGGAAGCTCAGAGAGCTGAATACAGCATGAAAGTTACTTTCCTTGAACTCTACAACGAAGAAATCACAGATCTTTTAGCACCAGAGGAGACAACAAGATTCGTTGATGACAAATCAAAGAAATCAATAGCTCTCATGGAAGATGGGAAAGGAAGCGTCTTTGTCCGGGGCTTGGAAGAAGAGATAGTCGGTACTGCAAATGAAATTTACAAAATCTTGGAAAAGGGTTCTGCAAAGAGGCGTACAGCTGAAACCCTGCT